GTCTGCAAATGAAATTAGATAGTTTTATTTCTTTCTCATTTATACGCCTTTTATTTTATTAAACAAATAGTATAGAAGATTTAGAGAATGGGGTAAATAACGCTAGAGGGTTGAAAATAAAAGATCGTATATCGATTGTTTTTTTTTTTAATATCCTTTTGATCCTCGATCTTTTCTTTTTCTTTTTCTTATTACTCTTTTTATTATATATTATATATGGTTATAATTAATAATAATAATATTATATATTTATAAGTATATACGAGTATATAAAAATATGATAGTTTATTCATAGTGCAAATATTAGTATAATATATTAATTTTAAAGTGTGTTATATTTAATGTATATATTTCAATACACCCTGTCAACCATTGATCTTGTATCTATAGTAATAATAATTAATAATAATAATAATACTATACATACGCGTACGAGAGTATAAAATATAATGAAATATTTCAAATCTTAATATTAGTATAGTATATTAATGAAAGAGCGTTATAAATATTTCAATATTAGTATACCTACTACTCTAATATATAAACTGATTTAATAATACTACTCTATAATATAGTATAATAATATTTCCCTATGATTCTTCACATGCACAATTATAACGATAAATTCTTCAAATCTTTATATACGAATCCTTAATTCTGTATCAATGAATATAATAAAAAAAAAAAAAAAATTAAAAAATATCCAATACAATATTTAACATAGTACATAACAACCAAATATCGTACATTTGTTTCTACCTTTCCTTGCGATCTTTCTTTTTTTGTTTCATAGTTTTTAATCGATGGAGTATCAACGATTGAAATAAATTTCTTCCGATCGTAATAGTAACTCATGTGTAATTAGTCGAGATATTGCACTATAGATAAAAGGTAAGTTTTGTGGAACGATTCATGTCAGGCCGATCGTGGGACCGTGATGCCTCGATATTTCAACTATATACACAACAACAACGAAACACGTATTACGTACGTCCCGCTCGGCTAACGATCGTGTATTGTGCATTGAAAATACGACACAGTTCTTTCTCTTACTTCATTTCCAACTCGCGCATTTTTATGGCGCCCGAGACATACGCGATTACTACATGCATGCATGCATGCATATACAAACATACATCTGCATACGCGTGTATACGCGTGTGTATCTTTATGTGATAATAATACCAAGGATATATGTATGCATTTGGAAGAAGTTGAAAAGTATCTTCGTATACGCATTGTGTGTTCACTATTTCTATACTTTTAAACGTCTGTGTATTCAATCTTTATATATATATATATATATTTGTGTACGTAGAAATATAGTAGTACACATATACGGATATACAAATGCACGTGCGTGCACAACGAACTTCTCCCACTTTGTCTCACATCATTTTTCTTCTTTATTTTTCTTGTTGTTGTTGTTGTTGTCTATGTCTATCTCTTTCCTCGTTGATCGTGAATGAAATTATTTACGGTTTGTTCCGTTTCTCTATACCGATCCTCTCTCCCCTCTTTTCAACCCGTTCTCCTCCCTCTTTTTAACTCTCCCTCACACTGACACAACGCGCTAGCTATTATTGACTCGCGTAATTTAGGCGAACACGATTTATCTCTACGACTTTCCTTACAACGAATCGAATTTCTGTTTTTTCTTTTCTTTTTCTTTTTCTTTTAGTTTTCTTTTCTTTGCATAAAATGTGTACTTTCAATAAATGTATTAACAACGAATATTACCTGTTACAACGTTCCTTATTTAACGCGTACGCAAAAATAAGGATCTCGATTTATATCGACTTATTTA